CATCTCATCACCTCTCACTACCGATAAAATTTGGAGCATTCTATGTTTTCAAGTGAGTGAGATACACGCATGAAAAGGCAGAAAAACGCGTTTTTATCTTGACTAGCATGACTAAAAACGCGATTTTCACGTCAAAGACGGATGATAAAGAAAAAGCAGACCGGTGGATCGTGTAGAGCGGAAAATTCTCTACCCATCCATATCATTTTCGATTTCGCTTCAGCACCTTGACACAGATTTTTTTAATGTCAAATAGTATGCAGTGCAGCAGCAGCTGTTGCAAGTAAACCTCCCCCTACACCTAGTGCTTTGTAGATTTGAACGAATGATTTGCATTGACGTAATTAAATTTCAATTTCAGTTCCATATTCTTTATTAATTTCTTGAATATTGACTACTTTAAATGCTGAATATGGAATTAAAAGAACTTCTTTTTCATATGGAAATACCGATAAATTTTCAATATCTAATGCTGTATGAGCTTTTCGAATATTATATATGCAAATACAAGATCTTTTCATTTTATTAGCATCAGCATTTTGTTTCGCTTTTGTAGCAAAGTTTTCAGCAACAAATCGTTCTTTTAAAGTTGATAATAAAGATTTAGTCATGATCTTAGCACCAATTTCATATTGTTTTAAATCATCGGCATCCATTTTCATACCACGATATGTTTGACCTTGAAATTCATATTCATTAAAATTAGGGTGACAACAGATAAGATTAAGAATATATAATAATTGATGCTGATTTCGATCTTCTGGATTGAAATGTGTTTCATTAGCTTGATCAAAATATCGTATAATCTTTTCGATACCTTTGTAATTGCCCAAATCAATCATTTCTACTTTCATTTTACTCTTACTATTATATTTATATCGATGAGAATAAGATTTTAACATTGATCGAATTGCTTTGGCGTCTTGATCAATATGTTTACCAATTTTTATCCATTCAATTGGATCATTTGGATTTCCTACAAATTTTTTATTACCATTTTCATGTGAAAATAATTCTTTGATTTCAACTGTTTTTCCTTGCTCATATGGAGTACAATTATGTTTATTTCTATTTATGTTTAATTCTATAATTATGTTTATTCACACGCAATAACAATTGTTAGAGCATTTCCTAAAATAAACTTTGTCTCCTGAAACCTGCTAAGATGCACGCGATTGAAAGAAGAAGCACTATTTTTTTCTTTAAACATTTATACATGGTTAGATGGAGCTCACCAAGCTGAACTAGAATATATGTGTGTGCTTGATCTTTGAAATAGGAGTGTTACTTTACTTTTACTAGTTATTACCAGAGATGGACGAGTCATCAATTTTTCGAGTCTGAGTCGGTAGCCTTCGAGTCGAGGTTCGAGCTCGAGTCACATCAAAAATTGACTCGAGTCACCTCGAGTTACTTCGAACCATTTTCTAGGGGAAAAGTTCCTCTTGATTCATTTTTCCAAGCACAATTCTTCAATCCTCTCATGCGACACAATGTTCTACTTAGAATATTCTCAAATATCTCCCTCTTCTGGTATATAACAAATATGATAAACACCATCATAACAATCACAAGTTGCACATGATTGAATCGAAAGTAACTTGAGTCAGTTGATCAAGTTTATTCTCGAGTCCGATTCGTAGAAAAATCCCACTCGAGTGGTGACTTGGACTCGCCCATCTCTGAGTTATTACATTATCCGGTGAAAGTAGTAAGCGTTTGTTACTTATTACCGGTAAAAATGTAATAACAACAAATTATTATTACTTAGTACTTTTTATTATTTTTCTTCTTATTAGTAATAAGTAAAGTAATAAAAGATCATTACTTGAAAAAGTAATAAAATTTATTACTTGTTTCCAAATAATAACTAATACGTTTTATTACTTATCACTTGGTAAAGAACAGTAAACTAATTGCCACTTTGAAAGTGTTTCTGTAAAGAGAATTTTTCGAAAAAACGGAAATTTGACTATGGTGCAAACACCGCTATTTTTGCAATAAGATTGATTTTTCGAATTCCCATGGTTTTCTATACTTGATAATAAAACGTCGTTTTGAAGCTGTTTGCATTTGACAAGGTCTTCAAAATTCCTGGACTACTGCCGCAAAAATCTCGGTTGAAAAGTTCGAAAAAAGTCAAAGTTTTTCAAAAATGCTGAAACACATATCAATCATTTCAATTTTTGATGCTGATTCCAAACATGATATTGGTTTTACAAAGTAATAAAAATGGAAGTTTGATGGTGAAACTGCAAAATACAAGTGAATTATTTTGTTTTTTGCCACCTGTTTCAAAAGGTTTAATTTTCTCAAAAGCAAAACAATATTTTTCAAAACCGCTGCCTACTTTTTTCCTAGTACTATAACGGCTTGAATAAGACATAACGTGTGACTATAGTAAACAAAAAAACTACATAGGTCTACAACATAACGGAAATTCTAAAAATCAACTTTATGCAAAAATAGCGGCATTTGCACCTTAGTCAAATGTCCAGTTTTTCGAAAATTTCTCTTTACAGAAACACTCGAACACACATATATTCTAGTTCAGCTTGGTGAGATCTATCCAACAATGTATACGTGTTTGAGAAACAAAAATAGTGGTTCTTCTCTGAATTGCGTGCATCTTACAAAAGTTTGAGAAGAAAGAAGAAAAGAACATGTGATTAGAAATGTTTATTTTACACAAAAATAAACATAAACGCAGACAATTTTCATAATGTCGATTCTTTCAATAGGAATTACTAACGAGGGAACCATCCCAAATATCCAATCTCATCGCTTTTTCCTTAAAATCTACACGATTGTAGGTGACGCTGATCACGAATATAATATCTGTTTCTGCTGCTAAATCTTTCTGGGATGAGTCTCTGAAATCCGGGTGTCCGAAGATACATTATGAACTTCCAGCTGAGCATATTTTGGCACTGCGAGATTGTAGATCACGTCGAAATACCTATGTGATCAAATGTTCAGAAGGTTTCCTCCTTAGTGTTATCGAGAAAGATCGTAAGAGCATACACTGTTACATGGAACTCAAAAGTTTTAGCCATTGCTTACTTACTAACAAATATTTCCTTTTATGAAGAGATTCCAAACATTTTCAGAAATTAGTTTAGTTTAGAAAATAGTTCGTTCTACAGGAAAAACGCAATGATGTATTAAATTTATTGTATTGTATAGTGTATAGAATATTATCACTTACTTACATGTACTCTTTCTCTTTCCTTTGTTCATTTACCTTGTCATAAATTAAACGAAAGATAAGAATTATAGTATCTTTATGTTATATAAAATCATATGTACGAAATTACTTTGATATATGTAACATCGTTTGTTTGAAAATTTTCGAGTGTTTTTGCGTAAAAATTCGGTGGGCTGCAATTGAGTTTAGCTAGGGGTTACGAAGGAATGCGTTTTCTTTTTGCAAATACTTATGCTCATGTCATACAAAACTAAATCAGGAGAGTATCGTGCGACTCATAAAATGTGCCACTAAGATTGTCGGAACAATGCCGTATAGGTAATAAGAAGGCGTCGCATGTGTTGTGCAGCATCTGCTTATAGTCCACGGCATTTAACACCATCAGTACTATACAGGCTCTATGGCACTAATTGTTTTGGTTGTCACTGTGGCGACAAGGGGAATTCGGAATCAAACCTTCGAAAGTTTTCAAACAAACGATGTTACATATAACAAAGTAATTTCGTACATATGATTTTATATAACATAAAGATACTATAATTCTTATCTTTCGTTTAATTTATGACAAGGTAAATGAACAAAGAAAAGAGAAAGGTTACATGTAAGTAATTGATAATATTCTATGCGCTCTCATAACCTCCCGTAGTCTCCCATATTATTTCGGAAATTGTTAAATAAACTAATTATTGAAAATGTTTGATTCTTTTTAGAAGAAAATAGTATCACAAACTGTTATTTTTAGGATCCTGTACCATTACATACACCGGCATGCGTTTAAGTGGTTAACGCCTTGTTTCTCGCGATTTCAAGCGTAACCACCGTCCACCTGGATACATTTGCTCAATCGCGGTTCAACGTGTTGCTCTTCTGAATCAAGTGTAACCGCAGTGCTGATTAATTAACCTATAGCTCTTCTCCGAGCCCTTGACAGACGGCTAGACTCCTGGGAGGCAGCCCCGAATCCCATTCCGTCTGTCCGGTCCCGTTGGACAGACGGGATCGATACAAAAAAAGTTTACGGGCTTGTACTCATGGGCTCGGGGCTTATATTCTCTGTAATTAACATTTATACGAAGAAAAAAATGTCATCGTGTTTGTGGTACTACTACTAGTACGGCTAATTTTTCACCGGACAGACGGGTTCTGGACAACATTATCTGCTCATGAGCTCGGGCTTACGGGACGCGACAAAAATTTTTACCTTCGGACTCGGGGTCACAGAAAAGTTTGTCCCACAGGACTCTACTGATGGCCCACTTTCTACTTCCATCTCATTAGAAGTAGAAAAACCGCGATTTTCTAAGAAAACGTGGTTTTGTATAAGAGGACTGCGATTTAGAAGCATTTTTTGGAAACCAACGTAAGAAGAGGGAACCATACCGGTCGGTCAATGATAATAATTAGGACACTAATTAAAAATGACAGTCAAAGGTGCAGAATCTACCCGTAAGAATTAAAAGAATTCGTACGACAGGAAAATTTCTAAAAGAATCTCTAATACTATCAGAATATGTTCTTTCTACAATTAGTTTTCAGCAAAAATGCTATTTTGTTAAAGTTATTCTGAAGAATTTCCAAGAATCAATAAGTTTTCCTCCGATGCCCGTTGGAGCAAACGGATATACTGTGCATCTTTAACATGGAAGTTTTTCTGTAGAAATCGGCTCAGAACATGCTAGACAAATGATTCATTGGACCTAAAAGAAACTTCTTTAAATATGTTCTCGAAGTCGGAAACGACGACCGCTCATAATATATGGGGATTTAATACTTGAAAAACTTGAGCGCTCAATAGACGGACAGCGTCGTTCAGGTTAAACGTGATTTTCACAATCTTCGTGATCGATCTCTCGTTTGCATATACAGTTATCTGGTTATTGATATGCTCCTTTTTGGACGCTGATGATCGTCTTCATGTACCGATACACTCAAATCGTAAAAACATAAATTTCGTATGTAAAATATAAGTGGCAAACCTTCATTTTAATATGCATTATATATATCGATATGCATCACCTTTTTCATATTACAAACAAAATTAAGTTAACTGACACTGAATGTACATACGAATCCTCCTTTTCAGTTTACTTCCTTGTTTTCAACCTTTTTTCTTCAAACAGGAACCATTGTTTTAAATCATGTGTTTAAACGATAGAGCTCATCTAATCAATCACTATTTGGCAGAAAATGCTGGAGCTGAGCTTCAAAACACGGATTACAGGAGAAATATGGTAAAATTCACCCTTAATTTTGTAGACTTTTTCCAGTTTTCTTGCTTATGTTTGATCGATTTTACGCCCGTTCACTCACTGCAGATGAACACATGTGAAAAATGATTTGCTGATTGTTAACAGATACACTTTGCCACTCTGTGTTGATTAATTTGATTGCAAAATGAATATTATTTGATATTCATCAAGTTTCGTGACGAGCTTCCGAATGGCAAATGCCGAGTTTCGGTTATTTTAAAAACATTTTATCCAGATATGAGAACCGTGGCCTGTCCTTTCCGTCCAACCATTGTGCTGCCAATCGTGCGCTCTCCGCTGTATGTTGACAATTCTTTTGTGGACATTCGTTGCACCAA